TTGCTCTTGTCCAAGCACTAGGAAGCCACCAGCCTTTAGTATATAATTCTTAGTGGCATCATTCGTTACCTGTTCTGTAAATTGACCATCTTTAAAGAGTTTCGTTAATCCTTGAGTGTTTTCCCAGGTGAGACACAGGTGTTGCCAGGTATCATCGTAGAGATCTGTCGAGGTAAACCTGAAACAAAACAATACAAAAATCAAACATTACTAAATATATTGGATCACTCAAGACCCTCCTTTTTCTTTGTCACTAGGTGAGTCAAGAAAGTCATTCTGTCTGTCAATCTGTAGTCAGTCAGTAAACCAGTCAATAAACTGTCAGTCAGTCAGTCAATCTCTTATTCGCGCAATTACTTAGAGTCACTGTGGCACAGTGGTAGAGCATCGGAGCGCGGAATGCGAAGGTCTGCTTGTGGTTTGATTCCTCATGGGAACTCAGAATTTTTTTCTTTGTCCCACGTTCGTGCCAAGGCGAAAAAGATCTTTCTCTACTTATAAAAATTTTTAATGAGCTAATTTCATCCCTGCTACATAAGCGAGTCCTCGTCATCTGAAAGACTTTTGTGCCCAATTGAGCGTAATGATCTAATTCACATTTTAAATGAAGTTCCCGAATAGTTATTTGGAAAGCGTAAGGAAAATACGTCTAGATTTGTTTTGGTTTAAAAGATTAACATATTTGGTATTTAAATCATGATAAGCACAAAGAAAGACACTTTTCGTTTATTTGTATGTTTAACTTTCTCTCTCCCTCAAATTGATAGACATAAATTGTTTAGGAGGAAGAAACCGACCGTAACATTTCGTATATCATGACTTATCGTGGCTCAAATAAGAAATTCCCCGACCGACTTTTAAAAATTATATGCAGCCTTACCGGAACCACTTGCTGCCAACAAAAACATTTGCTTCTGTTGGATAAATTTGGACACCCACGTCACTGTGTTGTTCACGGGCATAGGTGACGACCATGTGATCCCCTTGGTCTTGAACAAGTTTGATGAAAAAACACAGCGAAAACTGGCCGAGATCTGAAGCTATGGCTGGATTCTTCATGGCGTAATTTTCGGTAGAACGAAGCTCCGGAAACACCATAAGGTACTCTATAAGAGAGGAAATAAATTGCAGAAGTTTTAGACAGTTGTTTGAGCAATTGCACTTTCTTTAATTAATTTTCCATCTTCAGTGGAGTAGGTTCATAGTGTTAAACGATAAAAATGAGACTATATTTAATCGGAAATATCGTAAGGGTTTCCTTATATTGGTGTCGGGAAAAGGAATGGAAATATTATGTTACTTTAAACCATTCCTGCAGGGGATTATAAATAGGTAGGTTGATTACTTCTTATTCCATTTGGAAGCCTTATCTTAAAGGTAGAGTTTGATCACGCTTTCCTCGTTATGATAATGAAGTTGACATGAAAACAGTTGCTCAGTTTCTACGGTAATAAGAACTCGTGATAATGTCTTGGGAAAGCTATGTTATTGATTAAGTTAATTTGTTAGTCCAGGAAGAGTGAATCTCTCTGGTAAAAGGTCACATTCGACACCTCTCGTTCTTAAAGGCGTAAACGTGTGATACTTTCATGTTTTGCAATTAGAAAGTTAATATGACTAGCACGTAGCAACTTGGGGGCGGTACTTGTGAACGCCCCTTCTTCTCCAACTTTCGTAATCATGATGTTGTTATGTAATGGTCTTCTAAGGCAATTTTCTCTTAAGATACCGGTTTAGATGTGAATAGTATTCCGTTAATAGGATAGTTGTGATTTTTATATTACCAATCTCGTTTCTGTTCTGGCCGATCTCAACTGTAAGAATAAGAAATTTAAAGTAGAAGATGATTTTGTAACTGCGCAAATAACTCGAAGGCGCATACCTAGTAAGCAGAAACTGTCATACGTAATCTAACGTGATTCGCTGACTGAGATGGAACGATGACGATACAAGAAGATTGACAGCTTAGTAGCGTCACTTTATAAACGGTGACCCTCGCTTTTCTAATAAGATAGGAGTTAGTCCCCGTTGTAACAACTTGAGAAGAAAAGAGATTAAAGAAGAATCAACCAAACCAACAACGAGTGTTAGAGAATTTACTTCTAACAATAGTGCGTCCTTATCAACTATCTAAGGCCATGATGTAATTATTAACAAAGTAGAATATGAAGAATCGTCGTATAGATGTCATAGTCATTGCGTAGAGTAAAGAGGGCAAAACACGAAGTTATCACTCACTAGTAAGTAGAATGTCAGACGCATCTCTTAGCCTATTCACCTCTTTTGTGTTTGCGTTTGTGTGTGCGCGCCGGCGTATTCCTTGGGTAGCGCGCTTTCAGGTTGTCAGAACCAATTTGTCTGGCAGAAGCTTTAAATCGCCGCACAGAATTGTAAGTTTAGGTGTATAACGTCAAATCATAACAGTGAATTAACAGGAAACACATGATTAAGTAAGGTAATTTGGTATTATCAACTGAGTTGATAAGGGAAATTGGCGACTGTTAAGAGTTTAGCCCTTCCTTCTGACGAACGCTCCAAACGTCAGTTTTGAAAGTCTTTTTGGTCGGCCAGTTTACGTCCAAATTTCCTTGTTGTACTCTCCCAGAGACGCAGCACCACAGTCTCTTAAGAAATTTCCTCCCTTTTCCATGATTAAATAAGTATTATGTTCGAAAAAGTCTTGAGTTTCCCTCTTCCCTACTTTTGTATCTTTCTACAGATTTCTATAACAGTTTCACTAAGCTTTTTCGCATATTTTGCGTATCAGCGATTGTTTGTTATGTATACCTTTTGTACGGTGGCCGGTAAGAACAAAACAGAGTAACAAAACCTACAACACAAACACAAACTTAAAACAGAATCACAAAATCCGCAACAATAACACAAACTTAAGTTTGTGTTTGTGTGGCAGAGTTTTGTGTTAGTGTTGCGGATTTTGTGATTCTGTTTAAAGTTTGTATTTGTATTGCAGAGTTTTGTGTTAGTGTTGCAGATTTTGTGATTCTGTTTAAAGTTTGTATTTGTATTGCAGAGTTTTGTGTTAGTGTTGCGGATTTTGTGATTCTGTTTTAAGTTTGTGTTTGTGTTGCAGAGTTTTGTGTTAGTGTTGCAGATTTTGTGATTCTGTTTAAAGTTAGTGTTTGCATTGCAGAGTTTTGTGTTAGTGTTGCGGATTTTGTGATTCTGTTTTAAGTTTGTGTTTGTGTTGCAGAGTTTTGTGTTAGTGTTGCAGATTTTGTGATTCTGTTTAAAGTTTGTGTTTGTATTGCAGAGTTTTGTGTTAGTGTTGCGGATTTTGTGATTCTGTTTTAAGTTAGTGTTTGTGTGGCAGAGTTTTGTGCTTGTGTAGCGGATTTTGTGATTCTGTTTTAAGTTAGTGTTTGTGTTGCAGAGTTTTGTGTTAGTGTTGCGGATTTTGTGATACTGTTTTAAGTTTGTGTTTGTGTTGCAGAGTTTTGTGTTAGTGTTGCGGATTTTGTGATTGTGTTTTAAGTTTGTGATTGTATTGTAGAGTTTTGTGTTTGTGTTGTAGGTTTTGTGACTCTGTTTTGTTCTTACCGGCCTCCGTACTTTTGGCCATTGCGTGGGAAATTGGCACGCACCCGGCAAAAACTGATCCCTTAAGAGAAAATATCAACAAATGAAATCAAGCTCTTTCAAAATTACTCTTAATTTCTTAGATTCTAGGCGAAATTATTCATATACCGAGCTTTAAATCAAGTTTATGGAATTTTTGGCAATAACCTTTCATTTGACGAATTTTCAACGGGTTCTTAGCTATTGTAAAACTTTTTGAAACCATGCCGTCAAACTGAATTTTCACCTCCAGGATAATAGCTATTTTGCCATAGCAGGATAATAACAAACTGTTCCTTCTATTAATTCGCACTAGGCGCGCAACAGTAAAATACAATGCATGAAATCATGCGTTACATCGCTAGCAGCGTTCGTGAACAATATGAAGTGAATCCTGAGTTCGAATCGGCTACCCGAGCGGACAAACAGAAAATGCCGGCAGTGGAGTCGCAAAAATCGGCGGCAGAGGGCAGACAGAACGAAGAAAACTTAAATGACCCTCGTGGGTTTATTGTGCTACAAACACAGTCGGCTTTCTTTCTCGGCTCTCGATGTCAAAAAGTCATTCTTGATTCTGACGTAATGTACACTTCTGCATTTCAAGAAAGCAAAATTGGGACAAATTTTATAGAACCATTTCCGAAACAAAACAGAACAAAACTGTGTAAATTAGTGAAAGAGTGATGTAATGATGAAAAAGTACTCTTAATTGGCTAGTTTGTGGTTTCTTGTCGATACGAGTAACTGGTTTGAATTTAACACAATAGCTCCGAACCCATTGAAAATTTGTCAGATGTAAGATTATTATGATATATTAAGTAAAACTTGATTTGGAGCTTGCTTTTACTGTAAAGCGTTAATTCAACGGAGTCATGATTGTGAAAAAACTGTGAGACGGGATTTCCCCATGCATAACCATATCAATTGTGGTTGCCTTGAAACGCCCATTGCTTTCAACTCTTAACATATTGTGAACAAGTGTGAATTTGGTTGGACTTCGTAAAGGGAAAGTCGCTTTGTTAGCGCTTCCGGTATAGGTGTGTTGCAAAACTGTTTCAAGCTGTCTTAATTCAAGGTGGAGTACTAACTGACCTATTTTGCATCTCTGTTTTCCTTCTGGTCCTGATGAACAGCTGCAGTCATTATCAACTGATGTAAAAAGAATAGAGAAAATGAATTAGAATGGAAAATTTCTGCTTGCAAAAACAAGTCAGTGTGAAGTAAAATGACGACGAATAATATCTCAGTAGGAATCAGATACGACAAGCACGCGCGCGAAAAATATTTGGAATTATTGTTTTAGAAAACAGAACTTTACCTTTTTCGCAGTGGCGTCTTGTGTATGCTTTCGTACAGCGACACTTGTAGCTGTTTGTCCGGTACAGGGGTACACAAGTTCCATTGTTTTGACAGGGCAACTTCGATCAAGGAGACTAAAACCGAGAAAATCAATCACTTACTCCCTTAATAAAATCCAGTTAAACAAATTACGATGACGGATCGATAAAACGACTTAAAAATGGCTTGCGAGGAATAAAAAAGTAAAGATAAAGTCATAGAGAGATACATTAATGTTGAAAAGTTGAATAAAATTCGCTCGAACGATTGCAACCGAATTTAGTTAATAATAATAATAATAATAATGATAATAATAAAACGTGATAATAAGTTGAAGTAGAAAAAGAAGAAGAATTTTACCGCAATACTGTGGTGATACCAAAGATGGTTGGTGATGAACTTGTCTGAATGGGTGTAATGGTCAGATGGAAGCAGTTCACATAGCAGATTGTCAATGTTATCATCCAAATCTGCCAGGTTGAAGGACAAACATGGATCCTTCTCCAGACACTTGAACGCGCACTCAGAGGAGTCTTGGACCAGTTCTGTACCAACAGTTGTAACGTTCAAATAGTAGCCTTTGTGAGCAAGGAAATTGGTGAAGACAAACCCTACGTTTGGTGTTTGTCCTGTGTTTGATAAAGAAATGAATATGACGAATTAAAATGGTTTCGCCTTACTCTTTCTCAAAAAGACGATGTAGATATCAAGAAAATAAAGCAAAAAGGACGAAAGACCACACCTTTTGAAGTCTTCACAGAACTCGCCGATACAACCAGAGCAAGAAAGTTGACAGATAAATAGAAAGAAGCCATCTTATTCTTGTAGCTCAAAGAAAAAAGCTTTCCATGGTGAGACACGACTTCGTAATGCTACAGATACGCAACACTAAGCTTTTTATATGGGCTTTGCAAACATCTACTTCGGTTAATGACACGATATCTTGTCATCAGTTATTAATTTGTTTTCTTTTTCAAACGTTTGGCCTCCTGATTTGCTCCTGTTTGTCTTCCTGTGGAAATGTTTTCTAGCGCCCCTGGGTTTCTTTATTTTTCTTTCTAGTTGCTGTTAATTCAATTAGCGCTCTAGTTTTTGATTTGTAAATTCAGGAGAAAAATAATGGACCAGTAGAGCTCCAGTTCAGCTCGTTTTAATTCTGCTGTCACGGAAAGTTTCAGAAAATAACGGAGCGTCTGTTTATTAAAGTTCTTTTTTTATTGTACTTATCTAACCTTATTGTTTGAAGACAGCACTTGGTGGGTTTTTGTTATTTAGGAAGCTCTAAAATCTCAATCGAAAAAAGTGCTCCAACATGACAGCTGACATCAAACATTTAGACCAGCCAACAGTTAAACTTTCGTTGCAACAATTTATACATCAAACCTTGATATAGCCCCCTTCCCCCCCCCCTCGCCTCCATTTGTAGTACATTCCCTAATTCTAAAATTACGATGTCAGCAGCATAAATTTTACTTTGGAATTTTCCAGACTACTGCAAGCATTTTACTGAGTAAGTAGGTAAATAAATAGACGAAATGTTTTTAAACAACTGGTCAAAAGCAGCGTTTGAACGAAATATCGTGTCATATTTTTGTATCTATTTTAGTACTGTGCCATGCATATGGTACATTCCCTAATATTAGGAATTTACATCACGCGAGTTATGATTTTAGGCTTTGTAAGAGTTTTGATCACTGACCAATGTAGTTCACGGCTCTTCAACTGCAACATTGCCACGAGTAACATTTTTTTAATGTAAACCAGTTAAAAACAAAACCATTAGCTACGCTGCATTTGTGTACTGAGCGACAATGTCGCTTTCGGTAAGAGTTTTATCTCACATGTTGACACTTGCCAATCGACTATAAAGTGTTTGCGTACGATCAAAATCTCCTCCAACAGTCTTGCCCTTGTCCAAGCACCAGGAAGCCGCTGGCCTTAAGTGCATAATCTTTAGTGGCATGCATCATTCGTTACCTGTCTAGTAAATTGACCATCTCTATAGAGTTTCGTTACTCCTTGAGTGTTTTCCCAGGTGAGACACAGGTGTTGCCAGGTATCATCGTAGAGATTTGTCGAGTTAAACCTGAAATAAAACAAAACAAAAAGCAAACAATACTAAATATATTGGATCATTCAAGACCCTCCTTTTTCATATTCATATACAGAGCTCTAAATCAATTTTATTGAATTTGTCGTAAGAACGTTTCATCTGACGAATTTTCAACGTGTTCTTAGCCACTGTAAAACTTTATCAAATCATGCCGTCAAATTGAAATTTCACTTCCCAGATAATTTCTATATCGCCATGGTAGGAAAATTACAAACTTCTCTTACTTAATTCGTACTGAGCGCGTATCGAGGAGATAAGACTACAGCATAATACAATACATGAAATCATGCGTCATATCGCTGGCAGCTCCTGTGGAGAATATGAATCGAATCCTAAGTTCGAATAGGCTACCCGGCGGTGGAGTCTCAAAGATTGGCAGGGGACAGGCAAAACAAAGAAGACATAAACGACTCTCATGGGTTTATTGTGCTACAAACACGACCCTCGAGGTAAAACAAAATTATTCTTAATTCTTAATTCTTTTAAAATAAAGCGAAATCGTTTGCTAAATAATAAATCCTTTATTGACAAAACTTGTTCGATTAAGATGGCCGAATATTGGCTTCGTTCTTCTTCTCCCTTTTTTTATTGACCGAGAGGAAGTTAAGGTCCATAAAAAGGGAAAAAAGAACGAAGCTAATGTTCAGTCATCATGGTCAAAACGCATAAGAATTTTACCAAAATACTGTAGTGATACCAAAGATGATTGGTGATTAACTTGTCTGAATGGGTGTAACGTTCAAACAGTAGCCTTTGTGAGCAAGAGAAGAGGTGAAGACAAACCCAACGTTTGGTGTTTGTCCTTTATTTGATAAAGAAATTAATATGAACAATTAAAATGGTTTTTGGCTTACACTTTTAAAAAACACGTTGTAGATATCAGGAAAATAAAGCAAAAGGGAACGCGAGTATCACTGCAATGGAAGAAAGATGATACCTTTTGAAGTCTTCACACAACTCGTCGATACAACCGGAGGAAGAAAAGTGACAGATAAATAGAAAAAAAGCCATCTCATTCTTGTTGCTTAAAGAGAAATGACTTTCATGGTGATACACGATTTCGTAACGCCATAGACATGCAACAATAAGCTTTTACATGGGCTTTGCAGATATCTGCTTCTGTTAAAGGCATATCTTGCTATCAATGATTATTTTGTTTTCCTTTTTCGGGGGGTTTGGCGTCCTGATTTACTCCTGTTTTTCGTCCTTTGTATATGTTTTCTAGTGCCCCTGGATTTATTACTTTTTTTTAGTCCTAGTGGCTGTTAATTATTTTGGAGCGCTCTAGTTTTTGATGTGTGAATTCAGGAGATAAATAATGGAAGAGAAGAGCTCCAGCTCGGCTCGTTTTAATTCTGCTGCCACGGAAAGTTTCAGAAAATAATGGAGCGTATGTTTATTTAAGTTTCTTTTTTATTGTTTTTATCCAGCCTTACTGGTTGAAGACAGCTCTTGGTGGGTTTTGTTATTTGGGAAGCCCGAAGCCTAATTTTACTCTGAATTCTTTTGGCAATTTTTGGTCTTTCCTTTTTACAGATTTATTTTTCACGCCTTTATGATACTGAATCGAAAAGTGCTCTATCTTGAGTCTAAGGATTTGCATTAAAACATACATGAAAAGATTCTTCATCTTGATTGGCTTAGATAATGTAGTTTTCAAGAAACATAATACAGGAGAGATGTAATGCGAGGTCCACCACGGAGGAGGGGAGCCGGAGGGGGGAAGGGGGGAGGGGGTCTGCATAACACCCAACATTACAAATGTAGGCCAGCCAACAGCTAAACTTCCGCTCTAACAATTTAAAACATCAAACCTTGTCATAGCCCTCCCCCCACCCCTATCCGTCTGTAGCACATACCCTAGTTCTAAAATTACGATGTCAATAGCAGAATTTCCAGATTCTGTAACTTTTATTCTGGAATTTTCTAGACTACTGCAAGCATACATCAGATTTATAAAGTACCTACCTATATCTTTCTTCTACTGTGGCCCTTATGGGACATGCGATGTTTTTCGATGTCAAGTAATATGGACTCCAAGAAAACTCTACAGAAACACCCTAAGTATTTTAAGAGGTTACAAAAAGCGGTAGAACACGGTGGCTTATTAAGGACATGCAGGCTTTTCTCATAATCGCAACATATCATATGCGACAGGGCATATGCGATGATCATTCTAGAAGACTTTCTTAGGCGCACATTCAAAGTATTAGCGCTCGTCCTGTCAGCCTCTCAATGTTTGAAATTTCTTTGGGATCTTGAAAGATCTTGAAAGACCCTCGAAACTGCTTCTCAAGTGTCATGAATGAATTAGAACAGAGAAGAAAATAAAACAAGTAACTGTCTTAACTTTATGGCAAACACCGGTCACCTAAAAATTTACCTCTTATTTTGATATGTTTCATCAAACAACTGAGTAAATAGGTGATTAAATAAATGACATGTTTTCCAAATAACTGGCCAAAAGCAACGTTTCAACGAAACATCTTCTCATATTTTGGTATCTATTTTAGTACTATGCCATGCATATGGTACATTCACTAATATTAGGTATTTACATCACGCGAGTTATGATTTTAGGCTCTGCAAGAGTTTTAATCACTGACCAATGCAGTTCACGGCTCTTCAACTGCAACATTGCCATGAGCTGTGTTAACTTTATGGCAAACACCGGTCACCTAAAATTTACCTCTTATTTTAATACATTTTATCAAAAAACTAAGTAAATAGGTGAATAAATAAATGAATGAAATATTTTCCAAATAACTGGCTAATTAACAGCTTTGGTATCTATTTTAGTACTATGCCATGCATATGGTACATTCACTAATATTAGGTATTTACATCACGCGAGTTATGATTTTAGGCTCTGCGAGAGTTTTGATCACTGACCAATGTAGTTCACGGCTCTTCAACTGCAACATTGCCATGGATAAGATTTTTGAATACAGACCAGTTAATAACAGAACCATGAGGTATGCTGCAATTTGTGTACTGAGCGGCAATGTCGCTTTCGGACAGAACTTTATCCCAGATGTTGAAACTTGCCAATCGGCTGTGAAAGGTTTGGCTACTCTCAAAGCCTCCGCCAATAGAGTCTTGCTCTTGTCCAAGCACCAGGAAGCCGCCAGCCTTAAGTGCGAAATTCTTAGTAGCATGATTCGTTACCTGTTCTGCAAATTGACCATCTCTATAGAGTTTCATTACTCCTTGAGTGTTTTCCCAGGTGAGACACACGTGTTGCCAGGTATCATCGTAGAGATTTGTCGAGGTAAAACTGAAAAAAAAAAGAAACAATAAACGAAACAAAACAAAGCAAAACAAAAAAAACAGGACAAAACAAAAAGCAAACAAAATTTAAATATATTTGATCATTCAAGACCCTCCTTTTTCATTGTCACTAAGTTAGTCAAGAGAGTTATTCAGTCTGTTAGTACGTAGTCAGTCAGTTGATAGTAATATGTAAGTGGCTTGTCAGTCAGTCAATCAATCGTTTATCAATGACTTAATCATTCAAACATTCAAGCTTCGATTTGTTCAGTGTTTTCATTCATTCAGGCAATTTCTTATTCATGCAATTACTTATTAAATAGAGACCTCACTCACTGTAGAATCTCTGCAGCTTAGCGCGCGGAATCCGAAGGTCTGAGGCTTGATTCCTCAAGGGAACTCAGAATTTTTTTCTTTGTCTCACTCTCGTGACAAGACGAAAAACATTTCTCTACTTATAAAATCATCTGAGCTACTATTTTGAAAGCCGAATCGGTTAAGAAACCTCATCCTTTTATGGCTAGAACCGTAATAAGCGAGTCCACGTCACTTTAAAGACGACTCTTGAGCCCTATTGAGCATAGTGATCTAAATCATACTTTAAAAAAGGATCCGAATATTTATATGCGATGCCACAGGAAAATACGTCTAGATCTGTTTTTGTCAAAGATTAACATATTTGGTATTTAAATCATGATAAGAAAAGATAAAGAGGCTTAACGCTTTCCGTTTGTTTGTATGTTTAACTTTCTCTCTCCAAGCGTTAGGAAGAAGTCGATCGTAGCATTTCCTGTATAATATCTTATTGTGGCTCGAATAAGAAATTCCTCAACTGACTTCTAATTCTAATATACACAGCATTACCTGAACTGATTGTTGCCAACATAAAATCGTGTTAATGTTGGATGAATTTCGAAAATCATGTCATTGTCACGTTCACTGGCATAGCTGACGAATATCTGCTTCCCTTGGTCTTGAACAAGTTTGATAAAAAAACACGACGACAACTGGCTGAGATCTGAAGTTATGGCTGGATGCTTCATGGCGTAATTTTCTGTAGAACGCAGCTCCGGAAACACCATAAGGTACTCTACAACAGAGGAAATGATTTGCAAAAATATTAAGACAGTTGTTTGAGCAACTGCGCTTTCTTTAATAAAATTTTCCTATTTAGAAGTATGCACTACTTGTATAAATGTTCTAGCGTTCTTCAAGAATGCCGCATAGTGTTCAATTGTAGCAACATAGAATAAGACTCAATCCCGTCTTGTTGCCAAGCCTTGAACGACCCGAAGTTCTACCCAGGTAACTTGTAATTTGCCTCCAGTTTCTTTGCAAGGTAGCTGGTTCGGGTGCGCTCTCGTCAACTATCTAAGGCCATAATGTAATTAACAATGTAGAATATGAAGATCGTCGTTTACGCGTCATGGTTATTGCATAGGGTAAAGAAGTCAAAACACGAAGTTATCATTCACTAGTGAATAGAATGTAGGACGCGTCTCTTAGCCCATTCACCTCTTTTGTGTTTGGGTGCAGCCAAGTGTGTGCGTGTGTACGAGCGCGTGCGTTTGTGTCTACTTTTTGCCTTCGTCCTTAAACCACCACTTTTTTACCTCATTCGCTATAAAGAGTGTTTGGGAGTAAGTTACACATCTCTGTAATTATCCGATAGCTATACTAATTAACAAATAGAAAGGCCTTGACTGTGCTCCATTCTGTTGTAAAGCAGGAAGGAAGTGACTAGAGCAGGAAAGAAGTGTAGGGAGGTACACGAGACGTAGAGGAGTGTTTCTTCCCACTTCTTTGAAGACGAAACTATTGAAACTTTGTGAACACGAAATTATATATACTATACGTGTGTTAGATGTGTTTGATATTTATTACCGTACCTAAGCTTACGTGAAAACCTTCACAAGTCGGACAGTTCACTTCGTTTCCTCTTTGAGGATTTTCACCTTATAATAACGTCAATTACAGCGCTTGACATATTATACAGATCTTTGTTGACTATTCTGTTGCTACTTACCGGCACGCTTGTTCCGAAAATTCATTTTCAATTCACGAAAAAAAAAGGCTAAAGAGAAGTTCGGAAAATGGTCAAGCATAGAATAAATTGGCGTGACAGCTTTAGCTCAGCTCCATGTTTTGTACTCTGATAGAGCACGCTCTTTCTACCAATGACAGCGCGCGTTAGATCTGAACTTTTTCTAAAAGATGACACGTTTGCATGAGTGACTGTTTTTTCTGAGTTTTGCCTTCAACCTGCCACCGCCGTAAATGTTTTCGAGTGTCCGTCCACCAGCTTCATTGATGAGAAGGTGGTTGAACAGAGTATCAAAATATCTGCGGTACGTTTGGTACTGCAACATCGATTGCCTCAACGGTCATTCTATAAGGCCACCATCAGCGACCCACACCGTAATGTTTTCCGACACAAGTGATGTAGCTTTCGGAGGTTTTTCAGCTTCTCTAGACGGCGCCGTTATCAGCGGCATGTGGGAACCCGAAGATATCGACCAAAGTTCCGCGAACTGAAAGCTATTTATTTCGTGTTGCTTTCCTACGTTGCTCGATTGAAACACAAGAGAGTTAAAATCTTTACTGATAATTAGGGCGCCGCCAGAATTGTTGCTATCGGGAGCTCCAAAATTAATCTCCAGGCTCTGGCTATGGACATTTTTAATCTCTGTTTTGTTAACAGCATCTTTCTGGAAGCGCAATGGATCCCAAGGTCGCTGAATGAAAGGGCAGATCTTCTCAGCAGATTTGTTGACAAAGATGACTGGTCCGTCAACCCTTCTGTATTTCGAGTGATTGACGCCAATGGGGCCCTCACACAATCGATCGGTTTGCGTCGCATTACAATTCTAAATTCGCCTCCCCCGGCTGCTGGGGCGTTGATGCCTTGGCCCAGGATCGGCGAGACGAGAACAATTGGGTCTGCCCTTCTGTGAGTGCCATCGTCCCTTCTGTTAGAGCTCTCTCGTCGTGCTCTGGCTTCGGCACTTTGATCGTCCCATAGTGGCCTTCGGCCTATTTTTGGCCCTTTTTGCATGACAGCTCTTCTCAGGTCAAGTCTTTTGTTAAGGGAGGGTTTGAGCTTCCTTGCATAGAAGAACTCTTGTTGGAAGGTCCCGGCCAGAGACAAATTTACAAGGCGCGTCCCTCGGTTTTCAGTGGTTGCCCGAGATTCAGAATGTTAGCGTTGCGGGTAGATTTTAGGTGAGCTTTTTTCATCCTCGTTTATGTTATTCTACCTTTTGTTTTTTGCTTACTTTTATTTTGTTTTATTTTATTTCTTGTAGACGTTCTGCAATCGGGGATTTGGCGTGACGCAAATTGTCTGAGCTCTAAATCAAGTTTATTGAATTTGTCGTAATAACGTTTCATCTGACGAGTTTTCATCGTGTTCTCAGTCATTTTAAAAAATTTTCAAAACATGCCGTCAAATTGAATTTATTTTCACTTCTGAGATAATTTCTATTTCGCCATAGTAGGATAACAACAAACTTCTCTTACTTAATTTGCTTTAAGTGCGTAACGAAGTAGATAAAACTACAGTAAAATGCAACACATGAAATCATGCGTTATATCGCTGGCAGCGCCAGTGGACTATATGAAGCGAATCCATCGTTCGCATTAGCTACCCGAGCGGAGCAATTTTTAGACAATGCTTGCGGTGGAATCGCAAAAATCGGCCGAGGACCACCACAAACATAACAAATAAGACATAAACGACTGACGTGGCTTTATTGTGCTACAAACACAGCTGACTTTCTTTCTCGGCTCTGGAGGTCAAAAATTCATTCTTGATTCTTTCAGAATAAAGAGAAATCGTTCTCTACAAGCTTGTTCGGTCAAGATGGCTGGATATTGGCTTCGTATTACGAGATGGGTCTAAAAAACTATGTAACGGGATTTCCTCATGTATAGATACATCAATTGTGATTGTCTTGAAACGCCCATTACTTCAGACTTGAATCATTTTGTGAACACGAGTGAATTTCGTTTGGCTTCGCAAAGGAAAAGTCGCCTTTTTTTAGGGTTTTTTATATATATTCGGTCTAGGTGTCTCGGAAAGCTGTTTCAAGCTACCATAACTTGAAGGTGGAATATTAACTGACCTATTTTGCATCTCTGTTTTCCTTCTGGTCCTGATGAACAGCTGCAGTCATTATCAACTGATATAGAAAGAACAGAGAAAATGAATAATGATGGCACAGTAGGAATCAGATACGAAAGGCACGCGCGCGAAATATTTTTGAAAATATTGTTCTAGAAACCGAAGCCTTTACCTTTTTCGCAGTGGCTTCCTGTGTATGCTTTCGTACAGCGACACTTGTAGCTGTTTGTCCGGTACAGAGGTACGCAAGTTCCATCGTTCTGACAGGGCAACCTCGAACAAGGAGACTAAAACCGAGAAAATCAATTACTTACTCCCTTGATAAAAACCAGTTCAAAAAACTTCGATGACGGATCAATAAAACGACTTAAAAATGGCTTCCGACCAGAGATGTAGTAACTTTGAACACTTGAATAAAGTTTGCTCAAACGATTGCAACCGATTTTAGTTATTATTAGGATGAAAAAATAGTAATAACAAAAAACGTGATGATAAAGATAAAGTAGAAAAAGGAAAATAATTTTTTACCGCAATACTGTGATGATACCAAAGATGGTTGGTGATGAACTTGTCTGAATGGGTGTAACGGTCAGATGGAAGCAGTTCACATAGCAGATTGTCAATGTTATCATCCAAATCTGCCAGGTTGAAGGACAAACATGAATCCTTCTCCAGACACTTGAACGCGCACTCAAAGGAGTCTTGGACCAGTTCTGTACCAACAGTTGTAACGTTCAAATAGTAGCCTTTGTGAGCAAGGAAATTGGTGAAGACAAACCCAACGTTTGGCGTTTGTCCTGTGTTTTTATAAAGAAATGAAAATTACCATTTAAAATGGTTTCGACTTTCTCAAAAAGATGATGTAGATATCAGGAAAATAAAGCAAAAAGGAAGAAAGACCACACCTTTTGAAGTCTTCACAGAACTCGCCGATACAACCAGAGCAAGAAAGTTGACAGATAAATAGAAAGAAGCCATCTTATTCTTGTAGCTCAAAGAAAAAAGCTTTTCATGGTGATACACGATTTCGTAATGCTACAGATACGCAACACTAAGCGTTTTATATGGGCTTTGCAAACAACTGCTTCGGTTAATGACACGATATCTTGTCATCAGTTATTAATTTGTTTTCTTTTTCAGGCGTTTGGCCTCCTGATTTGCTCCTGTTTGTCTTCCTCTGCAGATGTTTTTTAGCGCCCCTGGGTTTCTTTATTTTTCTTTCCAGTTGCTGTTAATTCAATTAGCACTCTAGTTTTTGATGTGTAAATTCAGGAGAAAAATAATGGACCAGTAGAGCTCCAGTTGAGCTCGTTTTAATTCTGCTGTCACGGAAAGTTTCAGTCTGTTTATTACAGTTTTTTTTTATTGTAGTTATCTAGCTTTATTGTTTGAAAAAAGCAATTGGTGGGTTTTTGTTATTTGGGAAGCTCTCAACCTGATTTTCCTCTGAATTCTTTGGCACTTTTTGGTCTTTCCTTATCACGGTTTTACAATGCTCAATCGAAAAGTGCTCCAACATGACAGGTCTTTCCTGCAAGGGAAGAAATGTGATAACCTTTGAAGTCTGCAAACAACTCGCCGATACAAACAAACAAAGAAGAAAATTGGCAGATAAATAGGAAAAAGCCATCTTATTCTTGAAGCTCGAAGATAAGTGATTTTCATAGTAATAAACGATTTCGCAATGCCACAGACACGCAACATTAAGCTTTTCCATGGGCTTTGTAAACATCTGCTTGAACAGTTAATGACACGATAGCTTGACATCAATTATTATTTTCTTTTTCTTTTTCGGGAGTTTGGTTTCCTGTTTTGCTCTTGTTTGTCTTCCTCTGTAAATGTTTTCTGGTGCCCCGGGGTTTCTCTATCTTTCTATTTCCCAGTTGCTATGGTTTTAGAGCGCTCTACTTTTTGTTTGTAAATTCAGGAGATAAATAATGGAACAGAAGAGTTTCAGTTATTGAAATCAGCTCGTTCCAATTCTGCTGTTACGGAAAGTTTCAGGAAATAATGGAGCGTCTGTTTATTTATTTTTTGTGCTTATCTAGCTTTATTGCTTGCAGACAGCGCTGGGTGAGTTTTTTTTTATTTCTTTTAGCAATTTTTTAACTTTCCTTTAATACAATAAATCAAACCATGTCATAGCCCCCCCCCTAGCCCCCATTTATAGCACATTCCTCGGTTCTAAGATTACGATGTCAATAGCAGAATTTCCAGATTCTTGTAATTTTACTCTGGAATTTGCTAGACTACTGCAAGCATTTTACTGAGTAAATAGGTGAATAAATAAATGAAATGTTTTCAAAGAACTGGACAAAAGCAGCGTTTGAACGAAACATCATTTCATATTTTGTTATATATTTTAGTACTATGCCATGCATATGGTACATTCACTAATATTAGGTATTTACATCACGCGAGTTATGATTTTAGGCTCTCCAAGAGTTTTGATCACTGACCAATGCAGTCCACGGCCATTTAACTGTGACATTGCCACGAGTGAGATTTATGATTTTTGATTTTTTGATTGATTTTTAAAAACAGAACCATGAGGTACGCTGCATTTGTGTACTGAGCGGCAATGTTGCTTTCGGACAGAACTTTATTCCACATGCTGACACTTGCCAATCGGCTATAAAGAGTTTGCGAACGATCAAAACCTCCGCCAATAGAGTCTTTCTCTTGTCCAAGCACCAGGAAGCCGCTAGCCTTAAGTGCATAATCCTTAGTGGCATGTATTATTCGTTACCTGTCCGGTAAATTGGCCATCTTTATAGAGTTTCGTTACTCCTTGAGTGTTTTCCTAGGTGAGACACAGGTGTTGCTAAGTATCATCGTAGAGATTTGTCGAGATAAACCTGAAACAAAACAAAACAAAAAGCAAACAATACTAAATATATTGGATCATTCAAGACCCTCCTTTTTCATATTCATATACAGAGTTCTAAATCAAGTTTATTAAATTTGTCGTAATAACGTTTCATCTGATGAATTTTCAACGTGTTCTTAGCCACTGTAAAAATTGTTCAAATCGTGCCGTTAAATTGAATTTTCACTTCCGAGATTATTTCTATTTCGCCATAGTAGGAGAATAATAAACTTCTCTTACTTAATTCGTACTTAGCGCGTATCGAAGGAGATAAGACTACAGCAAAATACAATACATGAAATCATGCTTGTATCGCTGGCTCTACTTTTTCTTATAGCTCAAAACGAAATGATTTTCATGGTTATAGATGATTTCGTACTGCCACAAACACGCAACATCAAGCTTTTTCCACGGGCTTTGCAAACATCTGCTTCGGTTAATGACACGATATCTTATCATCAATTATTATTTTGTTTTCCCTTTTAAAGTGTTTGGCCTCCTGATTTGCTCCCGTCTTCCTCTGTAAATGTTTTCTAGCGCCGCTGGGTTTCATTATTTTTCCTTCCAGTTGCTGTTAATTAAATTAGCGCTCCAGTTTTTGATGTGTAAATTCAGGAGAAAAATATTGGTACAGAAGAGCTCCAGTTTAGTTCATTTTAATTCTTCCGTCACGGAAAGTTTTAGGAAATAACGGAGCGTCTGTTTACTTAATTTTTTAAAAATTTTTTTTTATCGTACTAATCTAGCTTTATTACTTGCAGACAACGCTGGGTGGGTTTTTGTCATTTCGGAAGCCCTTAACATAATTTGACTCTGAATTCTTTAAGCACCTTTTTGGTCTTTCCTTTTGCAGGTTTGCTATCACGCTTTTACGATGCCCAATCGGGGGTGGGGAGGAAGGGGAAGAGGGGGAGAGAGGGAAGAGAGGGCAGAAGGGGTAAGGGGGAGGGAGGAAGTCTGCCTAACAGCTAACATTAAAAATGTAGGCCAGCCAACAGGTAAAATTTCGCTGTCACTGTTAAATACATCAAACCTTGTTATAGGCCCCCCCCCCCTCCATTTATAGCACACTCCCTAGTTCTAAAATTACGACTTCAACAGCAGAATTTCCAGATTCTGTTAATTTTACTGAGGAATTTTCTAGGCTATTGCAAGCATACATCAGATTTGTAAAGAAACTACCTATATTCTACCTCCACGGTGGCTCTTAAGGGACATGTGATGTCTTTTTTTGTAATATGGACTCTAAGAAAACTGTACAGAAACACCCTAAGTATTCTAAGAAATTGCAAAGACCGGGTAGAGGTGGCTTATTATGGCGGGCTTTACTCATAATCGCAATTTATCATATGCGACAGGGCATATGCGACTATCATTCTAGAAGACTTTCATAGGCGCGCATTCAAAGTATTGGCCTGTCAGCCTCTCAATGTTTGGAATTCGGGATCTTGAAAGATCTTGAAAGACCCTCGAAATTTATTCTCAAGTGTTATGAATGAATTAGAACAGAGACGAAAAGTTTAATGTTGTTAAGGCTGCTTTCAATAAAACAAGTAGCTGTCCTAACTTTATGGCAAACATCAGTCACCTAAAAATTTACATCTTATTTAAATATATTTGACCAAACAACTGCGTAAACGAGTGAATAAATAAACAATGAAATATTCTCAAAGAACTGGCCAAAGGCAGCCTTTCGACGAAATATCTTTTCGTATTTTAGTATCTATTTTAGTACTATGCCATGCATACGGTACATTCATCAACATTAGAAATTTACATCATGCGAGATATGACTTTAGGCTCTGCAAGAGTTTCGATTACCGACCAATGTGGTTCACGGCTTAATTGTGACATTGCCATGAGCAAGATTTTTGTATATAGACCAGTTAAGAACAGAACCATAGGGTACGCTACAATTTGTGTACTGAGAGGCAATGTTGCTTTCGAACTTTATCTTACATGTTGACACTTGCCAATCGGCCATGAAAAGTTTGCATACGATCAAAGCCTCCGCCAACAGGTCTTGTCCAAGCTCTAGAGCGCCGCCAGCCTTAAGTACATAATTCTTAGTGGCATCATTCCGTTACCTGTTCTGTAATTTGGCCATCTTTATAAAGTTTCGTTACTCCTTGAGTGTTTTCCCGGGTGAGACACACGTGTTGCCAGGTATCATCTTGGAGATTTGTCGAGGTAAACCTAAAACAAAACGAAACAAAAAGCAGACAACACTAAATATATTCGATCATTCAAGACCCTCCTTTTGCATCGTCACTAACCCAGTCAATAGAGTCATTCAGTTTGTCAGTCAGCAGTCAGTCAATAAAACAGTCAGTAAATTATAAGCCATTCAATCAATCGTTTATCAATCACTTATTCGTTTTATACATTCAAGCTTCCATTGCTTTCATTCATTCATTCATTCATTCATTCAATTAGTCAGTCAATCTCTTATTTATGCAATTACTTATAAAATAGAGAATTCGCTCACCGTATAGTTTCTGTGGTTAGTTGTTTGCAAAGGGTAAGGAAAATGCGTCTAAAATTCTTTTGGTCAAAGATCAACATGTTTGGTATTTAAACCTTGATAAGAAAAGAGAAAGAAGCCTTTCGTCTGTTAGTATGTTTAACTTTCTCCCTCCCTTCAACTGCTAGGTGTTAACTGTCTAGAAGGAAGAAGCCGATCGTAGCATTTCCTCTATCATGGCTTCTCGCGTCTCAGATAAGAATTTCCCCGACCGACTATTAAAAAATATATGCAGCATTACTAGAACAATTTGTTGCCAACATATAAATGTGTTCGTGTTGGATAGATTAAGAAAATCATGTCATTGTCATCTTCATGGGCATAGCTGAGGACTATCTGATCCCCTTGGTCTTGAACAAGTTTGATGAAGAAACACAGAGACAACTGGCTAAGATCTGAAGCTATGGCTGGATTCTTCATGGCGTAATTTTCGGTAGAACGTGACTCCAGAAACATCATCAGGTACCCTATAACAGAGGAAATAAATTGCATAAATTTTAGACAGTTGTTTTAGCAACTGCGCTTTCTGAATTAATTTTCCATGTCAGAATTATCCAGTTTTTGTATTAATATTCTGGTGTTCTCAAATGGCGCACGCTTATCTGGGACAATAGCCCAACAGAGTTCAATTGTAAGCAACATTGAATAAGACTCAATCCCGAATTGTTATCAAGTTTTGAACGATGTGCAGCTCTACCTTGGTAACTGATAATTTGCCCCCACTTTCTTTGCAAGCTAACAAGTTCGGGCTGCGTCCTCATAAACTATCTAAGGCCATAATGCTCTGTTCTGTTGTAAAGCACGGAGAAAATGGCTTAAGCACGAAAGAGGTGTAGGGAGATACATGAGACGTAGTGGAGAGTGCATGTTTCTCCCCACTTCTTTGAAGACGAAACTACAGAAACTTTGTGAAAAAGAAACTATGTATATTATACGGGCGTTAGACGTGTTTTATATTTATTACCGTATGTAAGTTTACGCGAAAACCTTCAAAACTCGGACAGTTCATTTCGTTTCCCCTTTGAGGATTTTCGTAACGTTAATTATGGCACTTGGCATGCTCTGTTGCTGCTTACTGGCTCCCTTGTTCCGAATTTCACCTTCAACGAAAAAAAGCTAGAGAGAAGTCCGGAAAGTGGTCGGGTATAGTAAAAATTAGCAGATGGCATGATAGTTTAAGCTAAGCTCCGTGTTTTGTACTCTGATAGAGCACGCTTATGGGGAAATACCTTTTGAGAGGTTTTTGGGTTGATCTCGTAGAATCTTAGATATATTTTCTCCTCAACCTCAGGAAAATGCTTTTTGGGCCATATCCTCGCATTTGAGAAAATATCAACAAATTAAATCAAGCTCTTTCGAAATGACTCTTAATTTTTCAGCTTCAAGGCGAAATTATTCATATACCGAGCTCTAGATCACGTTTATTGAATTTGTCGTTATAACGTTTCAACTGAGGAATTTTCAACGTGTTCTTAGCCATTGTAAAACTTTTTCAATTAGTGTCGTCAAATTGAATTTTCACTTCCGAGATAATTTCTATTTCGCCATAGTAGGATAATAACAAACTTCTGTTAATTAATTAATTCGCACTAAGCGCGTAACGAAGGAGATAAAACTACAGTAAAATACAATACATCAAATCATGCGTTATATCGCTGGCAGCGCCCGTGGACTATATGAAGCGAATCCTGAGTTCGAATTGGCTAACCGAGCGGACTAACAGAGTTCGCAATTTTTGGAAACTGCCGGGGGGGGGGGGGGGGGTCGCAAAAATCGACAGAGTACAGAGAAAACTAAGAAAACATAAGCGACTCTCGTGGGGTTTATTGTGCTACAAACACAGTCGGCTTTCTTTCTCGGTTCTCGTAGTCAAAAAGTCATTCTTGATTCTGGTTTAATGTGCACTTCTGTATTTCAAGAAAACAAAATTAGGACTAATTTTATTGAGCCATTTCCGAAACAAGACAAAACAAAACAATGTAAATTAGGGAACGGGTGATGTAATGATAAAAAAAAGGTACCTTAATTGGCTAGTTTGTGGTTTCTTGTCGATATGAGGAACTGGTTTAAATTTAATACAATAGCTCAGAACCCATTAAGAATTTGTCAGGTGTGAGATTAATGTAACATATTCAGTAAAACTTAATTTGGAGCTTGCTTTTACAGTGATGAGTAAATATAAAGGAGTCTTGTCTTTTAAACAGCTGTAACGGGATTTCCCCATGTATTAGCATATCAATTGTGGTTGCCTTGAAACGCCCATTATTTTAAACTTTAAACATATTGTGAACACGTGTGAATTTCTTTGGACTTCGTAAAGGGAAAGTCGCTTTTTTAGCGCTTCCGGTATAGGTGTGTTGGAAAACTGTTTCAAGCTATCTTAATTCAAGGTGGAGTACTAACTGACCTATTTTGCATCTCTGTTTTCCTTCTGGTCCTAATGAACAGCTGCAGTCATTATCAATTAATGCAGAAAGAATAGAGAAAATAAACAATCATAGGAAAATTTCTGTTTACAAAAGTAAGTCAGTGTGAAGTCAAATGGCGACGAGTGATGGCTCTTTAGGAATCAGATACATCCAGGATGGTAAAGGTATCGTCCACGTAGCGCCTCACCAACGTTCCTATCGACGCCGCTGTACAAGCCGCACCGCAGAAACTCGAGAACAATCCAAGCCTTGCAGACCGCACCACGCTAACGCCTGCTCAGATCGCTGACCTTTTGACCTTTGTATTGAGATCCACATACTTTCAGTATAACGGATCGATTCACGAGCAAAAAGACGGCGCCGCCATGGGGAGTCCGGTTTCCACTGTTATTGCCAACCTCTACATGGAGAGTTTCGAAGAACAGGTGATAACTACATCATCCTACGAGCCTAGAATCTGGAAGTACTACGTGGACGATACCTTTACCATCCTGGATCGCGAAAACGTGGATGACTTCTTACAGCATCTAAATAACCAGCAACCTTCCATCCGCTTCACCACGGAGACAGAGAAAGACAACAAACTCGCCTTCCTAGACACCGCAGTTTTAAGAGAACCTGACGGCTGACTCGCTACCAGCGTATACAGTAAGCCCACGGACACCGATCAATACTTAGCGTATGATTCACAGCACCCTCAATCAATAAAACGCCGTATTGTTAAGTACCTTCGCGAGCGCGCCAATCGTCTCGTAACAAAACCTTCCGTCATCTTCGAGGAGAAAAAACATCTGTCGTCTGTTCTGGTTTCTAATGGCTATCCTTTTTCTTTCTTGCAGAAACTTACCAAGACCGGAAAACCGAAGAATATTGTCGAACCCGCCAACGAGTTCAAAGCTACTACGGTTTTACCTTATGTCAAAAGTCTGTCCGAACAGCTTCGCCGTTGCCTACAGCAACAAGGCGTACGCACTGTCTCCAAGTTGAAGAGTACGCTAAGATCTCAGTTAATACGACCAAAAGACGCTGTCGACCCGGCTAAACAAGAATGGCGTAGTTTACAGGATTCCCTTTAAATGCGGCAAGGTGTACATCGGAGAGACTGGAAGACCTATGCAAGAGAGAATTAACGAGCACGATCGAGACATCCAACTCGCCCGTACCGAGACCTTCGCCGTTTCAGAGCATGCCCACAGCACCGGACACAAGCCACTGTGGAACGACGTGAAGTTTATTGATCGTGACCCTTATTACTACATGCGCAGTCATATAGGCAATTCATATAAGACTTCATCCTAACAACATTAACAGGGATAGTAGCATAGAAATTCCAGAAGCGTGGATGCCCACGATCAAAAAAACCCAACAACAGGAGAGCCGTGCGACAGCGGACCGCCGAGGGAACAAATCACTGAGTGAAACAACAAGGATCGAAATGCACCAATCAGAGCCGTTAAACCACAGCAGAGCATCATGCTTATTAGATGGCGCATGACCAGTCGACCTCATCACCTGTAGAAGACTAGCAGTATGCAGTCGAAACATCGCGATCTACATCACACTTGACTACATCGTGAGACAAACGAAAACACTTAGCTTTTATTGTTATTCATCACGATGAATAACCACAACTTTTTTTTTCGAAACTATCTAGCTTTATTGCTAGCAGGCACTTTTGTAACTTTCCTTTAACGGGACTAGGTTTGTTTCCACGTTTTTACGACGCTCAATCGTAAAAAGCGCTATCTTGAGCCTTAGGATTTGCATTGAAAACATACATGAAAAAACTCTTTATTATGATTGGCTGCACAATACAGAAGAGATGTAGTGCAAGATCCTAGATGGGGAGGGAGGGTGGGAGATGGGAATGGGTGGTCTTCATAACAGCTAACATTAAAAATGTAGGATGAATAAAGAGGGTAAGTTTCTAAAGAAACTGTGGTGCTGCGTTGGTGGGAGAGTATAGCAGGTAAATTAGTATTAACAACTGAATTGAAAACGTAAATTGGCCACCATAAAAGGTAAAAATGACCTATTAAAAATGAAGGCCAGCCAACAGTTAAACTTTCGCTCTAACAGTTTAATACATCAAACCTTGTTTTGTCCCCCCCCCTCCCGCCTCCACTTATAGCACATTCCCTAGTTCTAAAATTACGATTTCAACAGCAGAATTTCCAGATTCGGTAAATTTTAATGTGGAATTTTCTAGACCACTGCAAGCATTTTACTGAGTAAATAGGTGAATAAAAAAAGTGAAATGCTTTCAAATAACTGGCCAAAAGCAGCGTTTGAACGGAATATCATTTCATATTTTTGTATCTATTTTAGTATTATGCCATGCATATAGTACATTCACTAACTTTAGGAATTTACATCACGCGATATATGATTTTGGCTCTGCAAGAGTTTTGATCACTGACCAATGTAGTTCACGGCTCTTCAACTGCAACATTGCCACGAGTAAGATTTTTTAATACAGACCAGTTAATAGCAGAACCATGAGGTACGCTGCAATTTGTGTACTGAGCGGCAATGTCGCTTTCGGGCAGAACTTTATCCCACATGTTGACACTTGCCAATCGGCCATGAAAGGTTTGACCACGATCAATAACAGAGTCTTGGCCAAAGCGCCGTTAGCCTTGAGTGCATAATTCTTAGTGGCATCATTCGTTACCTGTTCTGTAAATTGGCCATCTTTATAGAGTTTTGTTACTCCTTGAGTGTTTTCCCAGGTGAGACACACGTGTTGCTAGGTATCATCGTAGAGATTTATCGAAGTAAACCTGAAACAAAACAAAGCAAAAAGCAAACAGTACTAAATATATTCAATCATTGAAGACCCTCCTTTTACATTGTCACCAACCTAGTCAATGGAGTCATTCAGTTTGTCAGTCAGTAGTTATAGCTTATTATTATTACTATTTTATATACATATTTAGTTAGAGTGTCCCCAATTTGTTGTAAAGCTAAATACAAAGACACTTAAATATAGTTTATGTATGCATGTATGAATGTATGTATGTATAGATG